CCAGGGCCAGCTAAAACAATGACAACAGTAACAAAAAAATAGCTGGGCATTTTGGCGGGCATCTATGGTCCCAGCTACTTGGAGGCTGAGACAAGAGAATCCCTTAAGCCCAAGAGTTTGAGGTTGCTGTGAGTTGTGATGCCACCGCACTCTACCAAGAGAACATAATGAGACTCTGTCTCAAAAAAAAAAGAAAAAAAGAAACAAAAAAGCAGGTTAAAGAAATCTGGGTTTGTTTTTTTTTAAAGGATGCTAGAAACAGTTGATAGTTACATGCCCTTTTGTAGAATTAGATCACTATAGGAAATAACATATAAAATGTCCCTTAAAAATCTAATTTCTTTTTTCTTCTGTGTTTTCTTTTTTTAATTTCAGAATACTACAAGGTACGTACATTTTAGTTATATAGCTTGCTTTTGTATATTTTAAGTCAAAGTTGCATTTGTGCCCCTCACCCAGAAAGTGTGCAGTGTTCCCGCGCAGTGGGAAATCTGATTTCTCATCTTTGACTTTAGGGGCATACTGCACATGAGAGACAAGTAGCTTTTTTTCAGATTTTCCCCACACATTTTTGTTTACCCAGAATGATAACGGGAAATAAGTAAGTTATGATTTGCCTTTTTAACCCAGACCCTTTTTAACAAATGTTGGTGCTCACAGAAAAGTACTAGTCTAGAAACATTCTGTGATACTCAGCTATTCATTCAGATATTTTTGTTATACATAGAAAAATATGTTGCAAAGAAATAAGTAATTCCCCCAAACTCATACATCACTAGCAGTGGACAGAGTTAGGACTGAATCCCAGGGGTCTGGTCTGGAGCCTGTTTCTAGCCTCTACACCAGCGTTTTTCAAGACTTTTTTTATCTCACGGCACTCTTGAACCTATAGTTAAACTTTTGTGGCACACTTAAATTATGTTGATTAAAAAAAGAGTTTAAAAAAGGTACTGTGCTTTGAACTTCTTTCTAAAATTAATTAATCTTTACATATTTTCACAGCACATCTAAGATCCTCTCGGCACGCTGGTTAAAAATCACTGCTCTACACTTTTCTGCCTTCAGTATGAGGACTTGTAAGAATTCGTACACATATTTATATCTATCCTGTCCATGTTACATATTATTTACAATTTGCAGGTTATACCCATATTACTTCAGCCTTTATTATTTGAGATGATGAGTTCTAGGAGCTCTTGAGGTCATCTTTTATTAAAGTTTGCTTGATTAACTCAGGAGTCTTGATTTAAATCAGGCAAATTGCAGTAACTTTTTCCATGAAAAAGAAAAAGTTTCGTTCTTTTCCTTTAATTTAAGAGATGTCTATATTTTTCTTTGATATTTTTCAGAAATAGTTTGATCAATTTTGTAGTTATACACAAAAAAGTTTTGTTTATTTTATTTACAAAATAAACATGGAGTAGTTCTTAGCCAAGGACAAATCTGCTTTCTCTCACCACAGATTGGGAAAAGCAGGTTTGATTCATATGTGAGTGTGAATCCCAGGTCTTCGGTGCATTAGTTTGTACAGTGGTGTTTTGTTGGCATTGAATGAGATGATATTACATGGAGGGCATAGTATAGTGCCCATCATACAGTGTGTATTTGCTAATGCTCACTATCCCTTAAGTATTTAACTACCCCTATCTGGACTATCCATTGCCTCTTCCCTAATTTAGATCCAAATCCTATATCCAGATTACCTCATATCTGCCACATTGCAATAGTCTTCTGATTTCTCAGCCTCTATCCTTTTCTTTTATTATACTTTTCTTTGGTTGAGAACCTACTCTGACAGTCTGAGGCCTGCATCAGGGCAGTGACATTGGGCATGAGAAGGCACTGATAGGAGAAACGATATGTATATTATTGACATTATATTTAAACTCAGTTGTATTCTGTCATATCCTTTTCTGAGTGAGTCACCCAAACAAGATTATAAATCTTTGAGTAGAGGGATTCATTCATTCCTTCCTTCCTTACTTTCTTTTTTTAAATACACAATGCCTGATATAGTCCTAGGTACTTAATCGAGACTAAACATGCGGAAGTCTGGTTAATAAAATAGTTTATATTCCCATGAAAGTAATTTCAGTTTAGTTTATACAATCTTAGTAATTGGTTTTGTAAACTCATTACTTCATGCAGATTTATTTAAGATTTTAGGATTAATTTGCAAATGTTCTGACAGCATTTATAAAATCTTAAGTGGTTTTTCCTTCAAATAAATAATTTGAGGACACAGAGGTGACTTTCTTGTCTATACTTTGCTTTCCTCACTTTGAATTTTGAAGAAATTTGTTCTACAGCATGTGTTCAGATTTCAAGTTTACAGTGAAATTCTATATAAACTAAACCTTTAAAATTAAAAGGATGTAGGAAGAATGCACGTATATAAACTTGGCCTTGGCAACTCGAGGGAACCTCACCGAAATAACTTTCTTAAGCACGTGGAACATCTGTTTTAACATCTTGCTCTTGTGGGTTTCTCTTAAAATCTTTTTGAAACATTTCATGAGAAACCCAGAAATAGTTTTTTGTCAATGTCTTTATTTATTGTCACTTACTACCCTCTTAAGGCTATACGTAGTGTTGTAACGTGTTTTACTCCTCACTAGTAACTAATGAACTTGCAAACTAAGTATGGTTTGCAAAAAAGTTTCTGTGAAGCAATTTGAAAAGATTCTCAGGTCTCTTTTACCCCTTAGCAGCAAAAGCCAGCTTTGTGTTACCTCATGATGTATATGGGCTTATTTTGTGTATAGTGTGAGTTTCTAGGCTTAGTTGGTATATTAAATTATAAGATATACAAGTAACTTCAGTTGTAGCATAAAATCGCAATAGGTTTAAACTGTTAACTTCTTGATTTTAAACTTATATATATATATGACCAAAAAAAATACTCAATTATACAGTTCAGTGAGTCTTGACAATGGTACACATTCACATAACCACCACATCCTTTGATCAAAGATAGAACATTTCCATCACCCCAGAAAGTTTTTTCTTGCCCCTGGGCAAAGTCTTCCCCAGGCATTTTGGGTAAGTAGTGTTTCTCTTTAAGAGTTTTAAAGTTTCATTCCTTTGTTTGGCTTACATTGCCTCTAAAGAGAAATCGGCTGTTATTCTTATAATTGTACTCTTACCTGTAATCCTCCCCCCTCCCCCATTTGCCTTTGAGATCTAGTCTCTGTTACTGGCTTTCAGCAATTTGATTACAATGTGCCCCACTTTGGTTGTATTTGTGTTTATTCTAATGGGTTGTGTGTGTGTGTGCTTTCTTGATCTGTGGGCTTATACTTTTCAATAAATTTAGAAAAATTTTTCTGCCTCCCTTTCCCTATTATTGGAATCAAATTATATATAAGGTAGAATGCTAGGTGTTATCTCAGAGGTTACTCAGGTTATTAGTTTCTTCTTAATTTTTTTGT